CATCATGTTCCTCAGATCCTCTATTTTTTTACCTGTGTCCTCTCTAGATTTATTAATCATGTCTTACACTATGGGCACAATCTTTCCTGTTATCTGAGAAATTATTTTTCCAGATCCTCTTTCGTTGCCAGTTCAAGGAGTCCAGGTGTGTGAGTATCAGATTATTCCATCTCATTTCCCTTAGGGGTTGCTGTAGGTGATCTAGAAGTCTGTTTTTGAGGCTTTTTTATGTGTCTTCTCATTTCACAGGGTCAGAGGTGCTCCTGGTGCCTGCACGGCTCACCTCCTCTGCCCTAGGGGTGATAAAATGGCAGTGGGGGAGTCTCCTCTTGGGTGCTGGGATTGGCTCACCTCCTCTGCCCTTGGAGTGGTGCAGTGGTGGCGGGCCTCATCCTGGGTGCTGGGCTCTTTGGGTACAATTATAGGTGACCTGATTTCTGTGGAGCATGGACTCTATTACAGAGAAATTGAATTAAAATGGGCCTTGAACACTATAGGCATGTTCTGCTTCTCCTGAAGTGACAGCTTTGAGTTTAGGTCATAACTCTTTCCAGGTCAGAATTAAGACACGTTTGAAAATCTCACATCAAATCTGAATGAAAGTATGGTTCTTTGTGAGTTTCTTGCTACTTTTTAAGCAAAGAAACCTTATGGCTTCTTTGATGAGCTAGTTTGTCACCTTGGATATTTGAAATTTATATTTGTCATGGTTACAATCTCAGAAGCTATTTATTTCATACTAAATTCAGCAGAATCTTTGTTACTAAAAATATTTATCTCCCCTTCCAAAACATTCAGATATTTGAGTGTTGGAAATACATTATTGATAACAGCATTGAAGATGGTAGCATTGGATGTTGGATCTTCATTTTAAGTTTTCTACTCTGGCATTGTTTTCAACATCTCCCTCAGAGCAAAATTTAACTCATCGTTCATGTTCATGATCTTTGGCTGCCCTAAGGGAATTATTGAGAATAAAATATAACACCTAAAATTCAAGAATTCTACTCCTCAGCTAGAGAATGAAGATTAATCTGAATGTTCCCCTTCTTCTCCTAAATCCATCAAGAAAATTAAATTTAAATAGAACCTTTCCCCTAGCATTTGAACCCATATCTTCTTGATTTGTTTCTACGGAAATAGAGTAATGTCACAAGTCATGATGTTGTTCTAGGTAGATCATCTATTCCCTTTAAGTGCTAGGTAGTTCTATCTCTAGATTTCTTGGTGAAAATGCCACTACTGTGAAACTTGAGACTTTGGGGGGGGCGGGTACCAGGGATCAAGCTTGGGTCCTTGCATTTGCACAGCAGGTGGCAAAAACAATGAGCTAAATCCCTGGTGAAAGTTGAGACTTTAAAAAAATGAGTGCTTATTCTTTTTGGTTTTCATTTAAGTTAAGGGCCAAGATTGGTCCAGCACCACAAGCTGAAAGGATATGTTCATTTGTTATTTTTAAACATTTGACCACTGTTTTACAGAGATGTAATGTTTTGAGTTATTTTTCTTTATGATGTTGGGGTTCCACTTTCCTAGTCACAAGCTTTGAAGAGTCTCAATTCCTTCGTTTCCATTTTACCAGTTCTCTAGTCCAATTGCATGTGTCCTACTTAGATTTCTGAGGGATAAGATGTGGCCCATGCACCAGCTGCAGGAACACCCCATCCATGGTTCTGTGCTGAGCTCCATCGTAGCAACCTGGACTTGACAACAGATCAATATCAGGAACCTCCTCCCACCCCCAACTTTCTGTCTTAAACCAGGTAGCAAGATCTTTCTCAGTTCTCTTGAGTGCCAACCTAGGTCTTCTTGGTGCTTCTGAGCTAGAACCTTTCTAAGTGAAAGCTACAGCAATGCTAACCCTTCTTATCCTGATGGAGACAAGAGATCTATACTGCAGAGGAGGGGAATGTAGCCCACATTGGAGAGCCATCAAGTGTAGATCAGAGTTGTGTCCTGACATGCGGCTCTGTCCAGGCAGAGGAAGGAACACCAGGGTATCTTCACACCATGGTGCTGTAGGCTGAGCCAGCTGGATGCCCCAGCTCTGTGTTCATCCCAAATGCTGCCTTTTTCTAATTCTAATAAAGCTGTGGCCATGGAGGGACAGCTCATCATGCCAGAAGAATAGCCCATAACTGTTAAGTAGGCCCTTCCATACCCCTCTCTCCTCAATCCCTGGCTCACCACACGGATTTTAGGATCAAAGACTTTATCCCATAGGATGGAAGCCTCACGTGTGACTTTCATTCATTCTTGCTTTATCTCAGAACTTTCTGGAGATTGGAGTAGGAATGGTGATAGTGTATGGCCAACATCATGTTCATTTCAATCCATCCCTGTAATGAACATTGGTTTTCTGCTTCACAACATGCAAGAGGTTTGTACAGGTACAGTGAAAATATCAATAGATATTCCTTTCATCATTTTCTAAAGTATATTTTGAGGGCCATTGGTATTACAGGATGTCAACAGGTAAAATAGGAGCAGAGGATTTTTGGCTAAATCTTTTTTGGGGTAATGTCATAGAGGTTTCTTTGTTGCAGGGCATATTTCAGCCCCTTTAATATTCTTCTGTGCTTGTAAACCTTCAAGAAGGCTATTGAATATTGTCCCCTCTGGGCATTAATTGTTAGTATCACCATTTAGAAAGAAATCTACTCTGTGTCTATGCCTCCTGAAAGGGACATTGTAAGTAATACAACTCAATTTTCAGACTAGGAATAGTTGCCCAGGCAACTTGCCCAAAATGTCATTCACTGTTGGTTTCAAAGCTTGGACTACAAATCAGGATGCCCTCACATCTTGTGCTATTGTTTTACAATCTTGTGTTTACGGTTTTTCCCATTTTGTGTTATCCTTTTGTATATCTTGATCATTGGATGAATTATATAGACTCATATATAAATAATGGGTATGTTTTTACAAACATTAGGAAACTAAATGGCATTTCCTTTTTGTAAAATTGATCTTCGAAAACCCTAATCCTACCACTTTGCCTACGTAAGGACCTTAGGAAATACCTCAATTGTGTCCTTTTAACGATATGTTTTGGCTGCAGAATACAGGGACATTTAATGGCAAAACAAAGAAAAATCAGTTTTAAAGACTGTTATTAAAGAATAAAAATAAAAACGATAGGCCATGTTGAGATTTTGAAAAATCCCAATATCCTGGTACCATTAAAGAAAAGAAAGTTCTAACAATGACTTCAATAAAGAGGTGGAAATTTTTTATTAAATCCAAGTCCCAATGAGCTGTTGAAACACTTCAGATGATTTTACAAAGAAGTATTACACATCCCTTTTCACATTGTAGGACTGCTGTTGATATTCAGGCCTGTGGAAGATTTTGGATCTTGCACTTGGAAAATCATGTAGCTGTACCATAAGGAGCTGCAAGCTGGGTTATGGGTATTGGAATCGGGACTCAGTTAGGTTTGAAGGGCCAGCTCTCCAGATTTCTATCAGAAGAAGGTTTTTAGCAGGTGGGCTGGCAGCTGCTGGGCTCACAGCAGTAGCAGCAGCAGGCCGGGCGGCAGCAGGACTGTCCACAGTAGGATGGGCGGCAGCAGGAGGCCTGGGCATGGTGCAGCTGGCAGCAGGTTGGGGGCGTGCAGCTCACCACGCAGCACGGGGGCAGGCAGGTGCCCTCCACGCGGCAGTCTGGGCGGCACCACCTGGTGCGGCAGCTCACGGCACCGCTGCCACCCTCCTGGCCGAAACTGACACCACCTGCAGTGCCACAGCCAGTCTGGCAGCAGCTGGTTTCCCAGCAGCTGGGCTGGCAGCAGCTGGAGCCACAGTTCCCAGAGGTGGAGCAGCTGGGAAACCCACAGAAGCTAGTGGCACAGCAGGCCATGCCGAGAGGAGCTGGGCCGAGAGTGTGTTGTGCAGCGAAGTCTGAGCGGTGGTCGCTCGGTTCAGCTCGAACCCTTTATAAGCTGCCGCCAGCTGATTAGTCTGTGACCGAAGCATTTTTATCCTATTACTCCTTCAACCAGCTTCTCTAGGGCCCTCTGTTCAAATTCTGAGTTACTTTAAATAGATCTCCAAATTGGTTTGCCCTTATTACTCAGCTAATAGTCGCCAAATGTGTTCATCCTTCGTAGAAATGTTAATGCTTCATTTCCAAACTATGCTGTATTTTCCCCTGGAGCCTCAGCTTGAGTCTTGTGCCTGTGGTTGCAGCACCTGACAGGTGACTCTCCTCCTTAAATTAGTGTGATGTGGGGGTCACACGATCAAACCTCAACTTTGGGGAAAAGAATTATTGGCCATAGACGATCCTCCGTGTAAAACTATACTTATATTTTCAGATTGATAAGGGATAGTCTCTACAATCAGCCAAGTAGAAACTCTGATAAACCCCATATTCATAGAAATTCATAGATCTCTCCAGATATTGGATCTTCCCTCAATTTCTGTGATCTTTCTGAACTTCAGACCTTCACATTTCAGGAAGTATTTATTACTCAGTGTATAAATGGAACACAATTTGTTACATTCCAATTTAATTTTTAAAAGGAGCTAAAATTCATATGCAGTCACTGGGGAAAAAGAATCACAAAATATTGTAAGTGAAATTTACACTTCTCTGCTAGATGAATTATTTGGGCAGTATTTCTCAAAGGCAGGATTTACTTCCAGCTTACATCATGAGATGTTGCTACAGCATATGTTCAGTTAAAGGATATTGGTTGACTGCTGAACTTGCAAAGGACCAAAAATGAAGGAATTAGGAAACATTTTTTTTGTATCAAAGTGTTTGTAAGTCAGGTTAAGAATGGGTGATCAAATATGGTTCAATGGGTATAAAGATCAAGATAAATTCCAGCCAAAGAAAATTTGAAACAATTCCAGGGAGTTGCCAAATGAAAAAATGTGATTTTTTTTAATAGTAGTGTATGCTGATTTTATTTTATTTTATTTTTTCCCCATTTAGTTTATTGGTACATTTTAGGTATAAAATACAGTTATATACATCATTGGGATCTTGTACCATTACATGAGTATCTTAGTTATTTTTTCCCCTTCCCCTGCCCTCCATTCACCCCCTCCACTTTTCCCTATTTGCAAAGACTTTGTTTCCATTTTTTTCTTCTTATATTTTTTTCCCTTCTTTGCTTTCCCCTACCTCTCCCACTTCCCCTGCTCCTTTAGACCTTTACTTCCTGTTACACAGTATCAATTATACATTTTTAAATTTACAATATCAAGATCTAGGAGACATTACCACAGATTTCACAGAATTTAAAAGGATATAGAAAGCATATTACAAAAATCTGTTTTGAAATAAATTTTACAGCTTCTAAGAAGTACCTTGGAAGACAAATTAATGAAACTAACTCTGGAGGAAATATAAAATTTGAATAGCACCTATTAAAGAAAGTATATTCCTAGCTAAAAACCTACCTATATGACAACAACAGGCTCATACACATTTTAACTGATAAATTATATCAAACATTTAAAGCAGAGAAAAAAGCAACTCTTCTCCCCTCGTTTTAGGAAATCAACATTGTGCTAATCCTAAAACTGGATAAAGATAATAGAAGAAAAAAGTATGAACATAGATAGAAATTTGTTTAAGAAAACAAACTATTAGAAGTCAGATCTGGCAGTATGTAGAAAGTGGTTTTATTATAGGGATGGCAGTGTT